TGCAAGAAGACGACGAGGACGACGATGAGGAGGAAGATGACGAGAAAGAAGCCAAGGCAGACAACGGCCTTTCGTCTTCAGACAAAGGTGGGCGATGAAAAGCAGTGACTTTTCAACAGTATGAAATTGCCTATGCATGAACCTTTTAATAGCCTCTTTTTCAATGAGACCAGTTGTGAACATGAGCTAACGGAACATTGTCCTCAGGTAATTGAGCCAGGGTCCCCCCCACGCACCAACCCCAACCACCCCACTGTCTCCAGTCTAGTAAGTAGGGGCCCACAGAGTCTCGTTAGCCATGGCTGCCTCACAACTCCTCTCTCCCAGTGCACTCTATGTCTGCACCTCTTCTATACATCACTCTCATGGACTCACCACTCTCCATTGGCCACGTACAGTCATGCCATATCATCCCACTTCTGACCACAGGCTAGTCCAGTCAAACAGTCTCTTGCTACCATAGAGGAGGGCAGCAAACCGCCTGTGATTTGTGTCAGTTGAGTCATAAAATACTGCCATGTTACCATGTTGCTGGTGTACAGTTGTGAGAGCAAAGTTATTTACTCACTCGTCTTGATAAGGTCTTCCATGTCTACAGAATACGTCAACTTCCTTTGGGCTGTGGTTAGACTGTCAGAATGAAATCATTATGAAGTGACACCATTTTCCAGTGTGAATACTACACCGCCACATCACACTACATACTAAATGGGCATTCATATAAAATAAACGCTGAGTGAAATTGAATTTCATTTTTTCCTCCTTTCACCTTCCAGAAGATCTCAAATCCACTTCGCCCCCGACACTGGAACCAACAGGGCCGGCTCCTCCTCCACGACAGGGGGACATGCCCCTGGAGCCTCCCACCCTGCGGCCAATCACAGGGGAGCCCCAGTCCCCCACCTGGCCCTGCAAACGCCTAAAGCTGGAGGGTGACCTCTCAGACAGCACAGCAGAGAACATTAAATGCACTAGAGCACAGGAGCAGCCAGCATCACCGCCGCTCGTTTTGCACAGCAAGGGACTGCCAGTGGCCAACGGCCTGCCAGAGCTCAGCACCCCCCCACGGCCCACCACCGGCGGAGTTGGACGACGAACCTCTGTGTTGTTCAAGAAGGCTAAAAATGGAGCTAAGCTGTTCAAAGAGAGAGACAGTCCTTTGCTGAATGGAAAGGGGCCGCAGGACGACGGTACATTCAACACCCCTACCGCACCCAGCTCCACAGCCAGTACCCCATCCTCCACACCTTTGTCCACTCCATCCAAGACCCCACAGAAAAGCCCAGGACCCCCCACCCTCAATGACAAATGGACACCTGGTCGAGATATGTGCTCAGATAGTGATCTGGAGAAGACACCAAATCATACACTGGAAAGTGGTGAGAAGCTTTATTTACTTACTGACATTGGACACAAGTTTAAGTGTTTTACAACTGACTAAAGATATTCATAAGGATGTGATCACTAGGATGCTTGTTGGAATGTGCTGACTTTACATTTGTTATTAGCTACCAGTTAATATGTCTCAACAGTCATAAAACAAACTATTATGATGTGAGACAGCAAAAAATGTGTTTCCCACTAAGTAATGTTATATTTAGTTACATTCTTGCTTTCAGAACTTGTCTTTATCCATTTTTATTATGTGTAACTTCAGGTTAGCTAGCTAATACTAATGACTTATTTAACAACATGCTAAACATAATTTGGCGTAGCAACCCTACATCCTTTAAGCTCTTTCTTTCTCTTGGTTGTGAAGATACAAAGCGTGCTACATGATCAACAAGACAAACATTGGCCAATTCCTTGCACTGATTGTTGTCGTGGCATTGTACTGTGACGTCGTTTTCATTGCGACTGAAATGAGACTAAAGATGTGTGCTTAGAGGTCCTCTTTTCCGTCCAGCTTTCATCATGGTCTTGTTATTTAAGCAGCAGCTCTTCTGAGTTTTCTCTCATTTGCTTTCAGGACTGACCAACGGCTTCAGCAAGCACAAAGATGGCGGGTCCGACTCAGAGTTCAGCCCGTGTCCAGTCCTCCACAAAGAAATGTAATACACTGTGTTTATCTGTGGTCAGTGGTTGTTTAGTTATTGTAATGATTGACAACACATTGACAATACAACATGTCTCACAGCAGTTCACCACCCAAACGAAGCCTCGGGAAACCTGCTCTTTCCAAAGTTGCCTTCCTGGAGATAGTCAACGGAGACTCGGATTACACTGGTGTGTTTTATCCCTTTTTTGGTTTTGTTTTGCTTTATTATCCTGAATTCAAAATACATCTTCTCTTCTGTTTACCATTCCCTCTCCTTTCTCGCAATGACTTGTGCTTTAAGCAGAGGAATCTTTGTCATAAAATGTAACAGTCTAAACTTATTGGGAATATGTTTGCATGAACAGCCTGTGCATTTTCTTCTTAGTCATAAATGATCTCACTGTCTCCTTTTTGCAGGACACGGCAGCCAAACGTCTGAGGATGAGACGGAGCTGGAGCCTCTAGAACTGGTGTGGGCCAAGTGTCGGGGATATCCCTCCTATCCTGCTCTGGTAACTCCCTATTCTACCTAATATTACTGAAGCACCAACTAATATGAGGTGAAGCTCTTAAATACTCACTAAACCACATTTTCCGAAATTAAAATAAGTGAGTTTGACCATTATATAACCAAATCTGGAAAAAATAAAACCCTAGGACCATAGAACAGCTGTGTGCAGCGCCAGAAACTGACCTAAATTCCCTCTTTGTACCAGATCATCGACCCAGAGATGCCAGAGGAGGGCCTGCTGCACAACGGGGTGCCCATCCCCGTCCCACCCAAAGACGTCCTGCATCTGGGGGAGCGTAGGCAGGAGGAGACCAACGAGAAGCTCTACCTGGTGCTGTTCTTTGACAACAAGCGGACATGGTGAGGGTCAAACAGACCGCCAGAGCTCCAGTGTAATGCAACAGACCCACAGGGTGCAGCTGTTTTAGTTAAATGCAGTTCAGCTGGGTGAATTGTTCAGTCAAGGCAGATCATAACTACTGCTGAACTGCTGCTCCAAAAACTCACAAAGTTGTTAGAAGTTGCCTGTTAATTTGAAAAATAAAAATAATAGAATGTATATATTTTCATTTATTGTATTTATTTGTATATTTTTATGATGAACATAAACGTATAGGTTAAAATCATACAGATCTTAAGCAGTGAAAGTAGTCATCGTCACTCTTCTTCAAAGGCTCTAACAGTCTAAATCTGTGTGTTTGCTACTGCAGGCAGTGGCTCCCTCGTGACAAGGTGACACCCTTGGGTGTAGACGACACCGGCGACAAATTGCGCATAATGGAAGGCCGCAAGTCCAGCATCCGCAAGTCTGTCCAGGTGGCATACGACCGCGCCATGATCCACCAGAGCCGGGTCAGCCACAGCCACGGCTTTGTGGCGTCCAACTACCTGTAGAGGGCAACGGTGAGCCCTGTGTGCACCCACAGGCAGCCACTATGCATTTCTCTTTGGTCTAAAAGCAGCAGGTCGGCCGAGTCCTCCTGCCAGCTGAATTTGTATTCACACTGTGGTGTGAAGAGGTTGCTGTGGCAGCACAGAATCCTGGACCGTAGTTCATTACCAAACCACTAGTGTCTGACACACAGAGCAGTGGTGTTTGCCTTTGTGTCGTGGACGTGGAGCTCCAGATGTGAATGAAGTTATCTTTAGGTCCCATGTTGCTGCAGTCAGTAAGCGTTTACTCCCTGTTCAGGGGTGTGTCGAGGTATCTGCTTACTCCACCTGGATGTGTGAAAGCTGTGTGTCTGGATCAAATGTAAAAGAATTCCCCTCTATTTTGTATAATGCTACTGCCAAGGAATCAAATTGTCAGAAAAGAGATTTGACATATTTATATGAAACGCAGAAGACGTATGAATGGATCACTGCCATCTTTTATACAATAGCTTTTTACATTTTAATCTTTTACAAAGACACTTGTATATTATAAAGGCACACTTTGTGTACATATGTATGTGTATTATCAAACCCAATTTAATTTAATGTTGCTGTTTTTAAAAATGCGTATTTCAATCAACCCACTTGGGGCAAAGCGAGGCTGTGTATATTTGTGGAGATAAAATAATTCCTGACTTGCTGCAGTGTATTTAGCTTGTCTTTGATGTCATTTCATTGTGCTGTGTGTGTGCGTGTGTGCGCGTGTGTGTGTGCGCGTGTGTGTGTGTGTGTGCGTGTGTGCGTACATTAAGAGCATACAACACAATGAGCCATTGTTCTTTATATTTGAATTCTCTTTTTGATACAGAGAGAAATAATTTATTTATGGAAGACAGAACTATAGAAATAAAGCTATATTGGTTAAAGTTGAGAATGAAATCTTATTTAAAATAAATGGAGTGAGGTTTTAAAAACATGCAGCCAACATTTTAACAGATGAGTTCACAAGTTTGGTTTGACGTTGATGATTTTACTCAAAACCAACCGCCATCATTCACTGTTGACCCCCATAAGATTCTATTTATTGTCGAGAGGCCCATTTTATCAAATGGAAAAATACACCTTTATAAGCTTGTATTACCTACATATTTTACCTGCTCACCAAATATTTTGTCTGAACCAGTATTTCCTCATTTTGGGAAATAAATGCTCTATTAAAAACCTTTTGGGATACTTAACTGCTGTTTTGTGTTTTTTCTTACACTTGAAAGATATTTAAATTTGCTATAAATGTCAGGAAGAGTTACAGGGTGTCTGTGGGGTCTCTAAAAGTCTAAAATCCAATAATCTGAACTTAGACCATAAAATGTCTAAAATATGATTTTGAAAGGTATTTAAAGATTTATTGGATTAACAATGCTAATGTCACTTGTATAAAGCTGCATTTTCCTATTTAAAATGTATCCATAATGGTCTTAAAAAGGTCTTAAATTTAGCCTGTTGAAACCTGCAGAAACCCAGAGTTTACAGGCATAGTGGAAGTGATCCATTTAGTCACTAATTTTGGACAGAAAATTCTCTTTTCCACTGATGAACAGTGGGCATTTTTGTTTTATTTTAACATTACTCAGCATAGTGAAAAGTACTGTACGTGTACATGTTAGCTGTATACAATAATTATAAAAAGACTTATAAAATATCTGTTGTCCAAACAAACTACAGCAGTCCACAAACACATCTCAGTCCCATTAGAAGCTAAAATTCAATAATGACTGCAGGACTGAATTATTGAAGTCAGCCGAGACCCAAGAATCCAACACAGTCTGCTCAATATCAGGAGAAAACCTTGCATTTCCAAAAGGTTTATGAATTATTTCTCGGCTCAAACCGGACCACCTAGTCCTTAAATTTAAACATGAAACTCCCCAGAGATGATAGTGGTGGTTTATCACAATTTCCCGTACGTCCTCTCTGTCAGAGTCCAGGCTGCTGTCTTGTCAGGAGGAGGTAGTTGTGACGGAGGGTTCTTAGCTCCGTCAATCTGCCCAGCAGCCGCCCGAACCGCTGTGGTCCCCCTCGTGCAGCTCCAGCCTGGGCCCCACACACCTTGGACAGCAGATCCAGGATCATTTCCTGCATTTTCTCAACACAGCCGGCTGCTTGCAGGGACGCTCGGTCTGCAGGACAGGGACACACAGAGAGAGAGACAGGCTCACAGCATACAGTTCTGTCTCTTTGTGTTTATATCCAAACAAGTTGCCCAACAGTTACTGTATGGACCGACTGAGTGAATCATTCAAATGTGTCACTTTACTATCACGACCTGCTGAAGAGCTCCAGATAATTTATAGTGATTATTTACAGCTGAATAGAGCATTTGCTTGGCTTGACTTGACAACTGATTGGATTATGTCAACTCAAACAAGAGAGCGCAGAGGTCTGACCTGAGCAGAGCAGAGCTGTAGCAGTGAGCAGGGTGTATTCAGCCTCCGTCACCCGCAGTGTTGCCATGCTGTGGAAGAAGTTGAGCACCGGGCTGAAGAGATCCTCGTTGCCTCCTGTTCACGGCAGCGAATAGGAAATTGTTCATTTGCATGTGAAATACCTTGCACTATTTGTTCATTTGCAGCCTGTAAGAGCTTGAATATTCTCTGAGTGAGTGTATGTCTGCATTCACCTGAGTTGACCAACGTCCTGCTGTGGATGTTTTCCTTTGACTCTACATTTCTCAGCCAGTTGTGTGTTGACATGCTGAAAAGCTGCAGGGCTGATAATAGAGAAAAATAAAAAATTTTTTTTTAGACTGAATTTGTTTCATGCCGATTCAAATGCGAGCATGAATCATAAAAGAGTGTCTGTCGGTTTATTCACCTGGACTGGGGCTTGTTGGGTTGTGGGAAAACTGCTGAGCTGAGAGCAGGAACATGACCTCCAGTGAAGAGACAGACAAGAGAGAGCTCTGGTCTGAAAAATCCAGGAGATCAAAACCTGTGAGGGGAACAGCATTATTTGCTTTTATATACAGGAGTGAAGTTTACTTTATATTTACAAGATTTAAGACATGGCTACAGTAGCTATGATGATGGGTGGCACATCAATACCATACTGTATTTCTGTATCAATATCCTTTAGCCTAAGTGACTCCTCATCTTGTTTTAATTGCAACCAAGTTAAAATTGTGATTTGTCTGTTTGTCTGGAAACCAAATATTACTTTTATTGATGTGGTATTAGCATGTGTCATGTAATCCCAAATGGAATAAACCATTTAAATTAACCCAAAAAATATCAGCCATTCAGTAGTTCCTTGCCCAATGACCAAATATCTCACCATATATCATATCCTCGTCTTACTACCACTGACATCTTGCCAAAATATAAATATTCAAAGGATAAGTCTGGTCATCCGATGAAAAGATCAAAACCAACAATGATTTTAACCTACTAACAAGTGTTGTCACTGTCACTGTCAGATTACAGATAATGAAGGTCACATGTTCCAGTCCATTTTACCTGGCACAGTCCTGGCAAACTGTAGCAGTCTTTGCAGGTGGGGTGATATAGCATCCGACAAGCCCTCCCCTTCTTCTGCACATGGCCACTCAAACAACTGAGCAGACACAGAAAAGAAACCATGGGGGCAACATAAACAATGTACCTGTGTTTTTGGAAGTAAACTGGTGTCTCCACACTGCGACCTACCCTGCAGTGGCTGCTGTCCTGGGCTCTGTACAGTCGATGGGCCTCCACCATCCTGTCCACAATGTACTTCTGTTCTCGGGTTAAACTGGCAGACAAAGCCTGATGTAGACGGACATGAACACGACAGATTAAAAGATTATAACAGCATCGGGATTATGACTGATCACTTTGATATGATATGTTAAAACTACTAGATTAAAACTGCAGACATGAAAGATAAATGCTGAATGTGGGGAGGAGAGATTACACTTTAATTGTACAGTTTTGTTTAATCATCCAACCAGCTTTACAACTAAGCATTTATCCAACCATCCAATTAAAGCTGCAGTAGGTACCTTTTATGAAAAATATCTTTTTGTTATATTTGCTTAAACCTTCACTGTATCCTGACAGTAGTACATGAGACAGATAATCTGTGAAAAAATCTGGTTCCTCTGGCTGCTCCTAGTGCTCCTAATGTTATTTGTAAGAATCCACCGGGCCCGAACGAAAACAACCAGTCAGAGCCTAGAAAGATGCTTTGGGTTGGTGGTTTGAAGATAGTTGATTGTTGCGTCTCATTCCCAGCATCGACATTTGATGGCCTCGGGAATGAGACTCAGCAATCGACTTTATTGGCTCTGATTGGTTGTTTTCATTCGGGCCTACAAAGGCTTTTAAAAGCACTGGGAGGAGCTGCCTCGTACTACTGTCAGGATAAAGTGAAAGTTTTAAAAAATATGACAAAACCTTTTTTTCTATAAAAATTACCTACTGCAGCTTTAAATAGCCAAAAACCAAACCATAAAATGACCAACAAACCACCCAGCAATCCAATCAGCCAAACAACCTTCTACTAAACCATCTCACCAACCAAATCATCTGTGTTCTGAATCCATATAACCAGCTGATCAATTAATCCAACCTATCATCAGTGTGCACCAACAATCCGACTGTTTCAATATGGGTTGGACGTTATGACGATACACCGTGAAAAAGTAGAACTTTTCGAAAACTGTTAGGGATTTTGCCATACCGTTTACACTGTGGTATCTCTCCCGATAATATCTCTGAGTGTCACAATCAATATAGCGGAAATTGCATCTACCATGAAAGAGGACTTTATCCAAATAGCCCACTCAAACAGCCAATCATAACCGTTTAATTATTTCAAGAGCTATCACTGCAGCATCCTTTAACCCAACATTCAAACTCAACAAAAGTGGCTCTATGAGGCTGTACTTACTGAGCTAAACGCTAATGTCAACATGCTAACATGCTGACACTAAGCAGGAATGTTAACCATGTTCTCCAACTTAATTGCATGCTTAAGTTTGGTAATTAGCCCTAAATATAAAGTTTCACTGAAAAACAAAAACGTCATGGTGGCGCTAGAGGAAAAGTCACAGGTTCGGCAAAATCAGTAAGATTCATCCTCTGAGGGCGATGGATAATTGGACCAATCAATTCAGTGCTTGTTGAGATATTTCAGCCTGGACCAGAATGGTGGAACAACACTGCCACCAGCATGGCTAAAAAGCTGCTATACACTCAACGCAACCATCCAATCAATAACAATGAGTCAGTCCTGCTTTCTAGTACCTGTCCAGGTAGCCTGCTGCTAGAGCTGACCCTCCTGCTGTCTGTGTTCTCCTCTTCCTCCTGTCCTCTGCCTTTGCCTCCTTTCCTTAGTCGCTTGGACTGGCACTGCACCTCCGTCAGAAGGCCTGAGAAAGAAATGCCTTATCAGACTCAACGTCAAACCAGCTAAATCAGTTCAGTGCGTATTATTTAGGAGGTACTGACTGATCTCATCAATCCTTTTCCTTAATTACATGATGCTTAACATTTAATTTTACAGAGTGTGAGTTGAGGTCGCTTACACTCAGCCAGCATTCCCACAGCGCGGCACTTCCTCAGCCGGCAGTCTTGGCACTTCCTTCTCATGTACATGTCCATCTCACAGCCCCCGCCACTCTTACAGTGATACACAGCCTTTTTAGTCACACTACGCCTAAAGAAACCTACAGCATCCAGGTGAGAAAAAAGGGGAAAAGAAGGACCAGATGAGGGTGAAACAAAATCTTTTTAAATTACAAATATACAGCACTAGAGAAAAGAATAAAAAGATAGGGGACTAAATTGAAAAGAGAGAAATACCTTTGCATCCCTCACAGGTAAGAGCGTTGTAGTGATACCCTGATGCTTTATCTCCACACACCACACACAGCTCATCCTGACCTCTGCTCTTCCCTCCCAACCCCACCCGTGTCCTCCGACCCAGAGGCAACCCTACCGCTCCGAGCCCCTGAACCAGGCCCCCGCAGTGGGGCTCGGGGGTGGGATCACAGGGGGCCTCCAAGCAATGAGGGCTGTAGTGGTACGGAACATGGCAGGGCTGTGAGGAGGAAGAGGAGGAGGAGGGAGAGGAAGTGCAGGAGGGTGGAGAGCCATAGATGGAGAAAGGCAGATTGGCAGGACTGTACTGTTGCTGGCTATAAGGGAGCAGCTGGAGGTCAGGGTCCTGCAGAGGGTAGCCTAAAGGGTCAGTCAGCATGTCTGAAATGGAAAAAAATAGTAGACAAGTTCATCTGTTTTAAAAGTCAGAGATGTAAGTTTAAAAAGTAACGAGTGAACTGTGTTCACCAGCAGATGTAGACCACGTCAGCGTTTGTTTTACAATTTTTTGTTCAGATCTATGATCCGATTCCTTGACAATACTTATAGCAAAAAAGCATATTGTGATTGCAAGCAAGAGTAGTTAGACATTTAGACCTGACATTTAAAGGCCACATGAAAAGGGAACCTGAAATTCTTAGTAAACTGGTAACTTCTTGCCTACTTCCTGGGAAATAATGCATCCTCACTGGTGCTGCTTTTCTGCCCATTCTATAAAATCCTACTAACAACTATTTTCTATGTATCTAAAATCTGATATATTATTATCTCCGTACCCATAGAGCTCCATTATCTTTTTTTTTTTTTTACATACATCACTGAACCACAGTGTGGAACTGGGTGACATGTCCCTCCATTATGCTGGAACATGTGCACTGTGGAACATCTTCCTGCTGCTGAAAATACTTACTAGAGCACCAAATGTGTATTAATCCACAGCTGAAAATAGCTGAAAAATGTCCTTCTGTTTGAATAATGCTTGCTAAAAGCTACAATACCAGGGTGCCCTGGTAGCTCACCTGTTAGAGCTGGTGCCCCATGTACCAAGGCCAAGGTTTGACTCTGACCTGTGGCCTTTTGCTCTCAATTAAAGGCAATAAAACACCCAAAATATTTTTTTTAAAAGCTACAATGCCCAACTGTGGTACAAAATTACTGAGCTTATAAAAAAGAAAGAAATCATTTCATTGGTGACAATGAGAAAAATATAGCCAGATTTATCCTGGATATGATGTTAACATGGAATATGAGAAACCTGGCTATTGAAATCCCTTCATACATCATTCTACCAGTATCCAGGTGTCTGTGTGCAGTTGTGTCTTGAGTTCTCACAATCCCAGCAACTGTGTTCAGTACCAAAAAATAATGTTCAGAAACCTGAAAATGGTGTTTACATGTTCCAGTTTGCTGGTTTCTATGGGGGTAACATATACAGGTTTCTGAAAATCAGGATATGGTCTTATCTGAAACCAGGATAAGATGTTCACACTGACAACCTATAACCAGGAAACTCCAAAAACCTGATCCTAACCGGGATACTGGTGTGCATGTAAACATCCGCATTGATCCATCAAAAACTGCAAGACCAGAAACGTGAATGAACATTTCAAGCGACACTATTACGCCGTTACAAAGTCAAAGAGCGTCATAGGAATGCGGTCTTACGTGATTTCACTGCTTTTATGGCTCTTGTGGGATACAATAAAAAGCTGAGAGTAAGACCTTGTGAACTTGTTCGGACTGCTGAAACAGGATGCAGCTGAGAGCTCCAAGTGCCATTTAGGATTTTTTGATCCCCTTTTCTGGATGTTTCAGTCAGTCTGTAATGGCCATCCAGTGTTGTGACGGACTGAAATGTCTTTGAGTGTGGGTCAGCAGCTTGTGTTTTGCAAATCCTGTCTCCTTTGAGAAAACATGTGTGACCACTGGCAGCCTCTTAAAGTACAGCTGCACCAGTACGACTGGGACTGCTCTGGGATCTGTTATGCACTGATTAAACAGAGAGCCCACCCAAATGTAGATGGAAATTTGAAGGGTAAGGCATGTTGCATTAAGATGATGGCTGACAATAATATCAGCCTGATTATGTTAAAAAAAATGCGGCTTCCAGAACTGTTGTTGATGAAGAGTGTCTTTAAGCTTTGACAGGAAGGCCAACGAACCATCATTGTAGCGCTGTAGTGTGTTTAAAGGGTACTTAAGTGATTTAGCACTGCACTTTCATAAGGTTGTGGGAATCACAGGAGACAAATTAGTAATAAAAAATTGTCAAAATCAAAGCAGCAAAGGCTGTGATGTCTTTACTATGGCTTAAGCGGAGATAACCCTGACGACAATGGTTGGCTTGTTGGCCAGGCTTCCCAGTTAGAGACTCTGGGGCACAAGGGTCTGTGAGCAAGAGCCCCTATTTGAAGTGCCCGTTCTAGGATAATATATTCCTGTTGGAAAGTCCCAAAGCTGAGGCAAATGAAGATCCTTGATCCTTTAATATGGAATATATTCTGATACTGAGTCTGATTTGAGAGTTAGATGAGAGGATCAATACCACTCTTGTGTCTGTACGCTAAATATGAAGCTAGAGGAAGCAGCCGGTTAGTTTAGCTCAGCACAAAGTCTGGATAAAGGGAAACCCATCAGCCTCCCAGTTCTAAAGCGCTCTGATTTACTGACGTCCTTGCCAGGCAACCAACAGAGACTCCAGGATGTCACTGAAGTCACAGGAACAGTCCATTACATCGCCTGTATGTTTCACCACAGAGCAGAATGGGGGACAGTCCCAGGTAAGGGGTGTCCTACATGTGTTAGCGGCCATTCAAGCAACTACCTTGGATTTATAAATCACGATTGGTAGGCGAGGAGAAATCGGATATATGCTAAGTTAACTATAGCTTCATATGGAGTGTACTTCCATGAGTGGTATATCTTCTCATCTAATTCTCTGCAAGAAAGTCAATATGCAGACTTCCCAAGGGGTTGGGGTTTTGTTTAAATTTGTATTTGATTTTTTGCCAGCAACTGGACAAATGAAAGACTGATATATAGTCATCAAAACTGACGATGAGTTTTGACCTCCAGGATTCGTCTAGGGGATTTTTTGACAACAAATGACATTTGTTCGACACCCCCTTCACTGATGGAGTGAATGTCAGCACATAATCATACATCATAATTTTAAAGGCCCCTTATTAACCCCTCCTCACTCCTTCCTTTTGTCTCCTCTATCGTTCTCTCTCCAGATGTTTCCTGTCTTTACCAGACTGTGGCAGCAATGGTTTGGGGGGGGTCCTGCTTTCTCGGCATGTGACAGAGCTGCGATTTGCACTGTTTGTAAACCATTTGAGCACTGTCTAAACACTCCTCAGCCTCCCTTCCATCCCACGCACACTAGGGAGCCAAACAACACCAGCAAACTACCCCCCATAGCTCCCCCTCCGCCCCCTCCTCCCGCTGCTCCTAAGGGCAGGAGGGGAGACAACAGGGGGAATTTGTTGATGATACACGTCAGTATAAATAGATCCTCCGATGCACGCTCAGCCTCCCTGCGTGCTGTGAATGCAGCGGGCCGGCTGAACCTCCTCAAGAACTATTTTTTTCATGTCATCGAGTTCTCTCCAAGGCGGTAAATAAATGCTTGGTGTTCATTCATCAACTGTGAGAGTGAATGAGATGAGGTTGAGTTGCTCACAGAGTGCAGTTACATCCTTGTTGTGTAACAATATAATATGTAAATGACCCACTTATTTAAAGCGAGCCAGGGTAACTTTTGGTAAACACAAGTGGCGGTTGTGGGAAAATGTTGTGGGAAAATGTTAGTGTGCAAAGAAATAGAAGTAAAATTATACTACTGTAGCCTCTCTTCATTGGACTGCAGTGTGTAGGATTTAGCGGCATCTAGCAGTGAAATTGCAGATTGCAACTCAACTTGCTTTACCCTCCCTTTACAAGCAGGAGGGAGAATCCATACAGTGGCCACAAAACACAAAACCGCCCTGTCTACAGCCAGTGTTTGGTTTGTCCGTTCTGGGCTACTGTAGAAACATGGTGATTCAACATGGACGCCGCCACGGAAGACAACCCGCGGTGTCTGTAGATAAAAAAAAGCTAGTAAGGTAAAGTAAGGTAAAGAAAACACAACAATTCTTATTCTATGGTGTTTCACACGCCAATGAAAACATACCTGTGAACGTTATATTCTATTTCTGCAAGTAGATCCTGCTAGATGTTACACACTGGACCTTTAATTCATAAATTACTCAACACATTTCTCCAAAAACTATAGTATAAATTGAAAACGGTTAGGTGAGGTCACATGAGTTTAACAGGCCTGTTCACTAGACTTCCTTTAGATTTTTGTGTTACTTTAAAGGGTCAGTTCACTCAAATTTCTCTCTTAACACTGGTGGCATCTAACCGTGCGGATAGTTTGGGTTTTATTTACACCGTTATACCAGGTGAAAACATAGGAACTACACTCTACTGAAGAAATAGTCCCTATAAATCCTACCCCCCTAAAGTTAACACTGATCATAGACAGAGACGGTTACTGTTGAATAAGTGAGAAAATGTGTTTAGTAATCTGGGCGAACCAACCCTTTACAACAGTATAAAATAATGTATACCAGTTGTGTCTCTTTGTTATTGTAGAAATATCTACCTGCCTGTGACACTAATGATGTTTCACAGCATCATGTGTCTCCACACATTAAAATCACAAAAGACATGAACCATCATGTCTGAATATTCAGTCTTTCCTGGACTTATAATTAAATGTGTTGGTATCACATGTGAATTCACATATCAGTCCTTCTTCAGTGTTTCAGATTGTAAGCATTAATGTGTCACACAACTTATTTTAGAGAAGCAAAAGAAGAAGTCGAAGGGGAAGAGAAATTCTAAAGCTACGCAATAGTGGGAAAAAAGTGGAAGAAGGAGCAGAAGTGTCACTGCGGACTCACCATAGTACTGGAGCTGCTGCTCTGTGGAGCAGTAACCATCCGAGAGAAACCCCCCTGCCGAAAAGCTCATCTCCAACTCAGTCCACTCTCTCATCTGGACAGAAGATCCTCTCTTTAGCTAGTAATACACGATCTATCTTCACACACATGCAAAGACATAAACATACACACACACAGTCAATTACTCAGAGGATTCACACAGATATGAAGGATCTGGGAAGTGCGGAGACATTCCTCAATCCCCAGGATGCGTCCAGGTCTCTTAGCTGTCCAGGCTGATATCCCAGCCTATTTTTAAAAAAGCAGAGAGCAAGAGTGCAGCTGAGGCTCTTGGTCTGTGGTGGATGATGTGCTGGAGGAGGTCTTAACCGTCCTCGGGGGGATAGACGAAAGGGAAAGCAGGGACACCCAGGAAGGACAGGGATGGGACTGTGGTCCAAACAGCTGGACCTGGCCCGGGACTTCACAGATCAAAAGACAGTGAAGATGAATGGATGGATGGATGGAGGGAAAGATGGAGACTTCATCCCTCATGGGCAGAATGAGGGACACTGACGGTGTGTGTATATATGTGTGCGTGCTGAGGTTTGGCCTGAATGGATATATCCTAGTGTGCAACAGCTGAGCTGGGCAAAGGAAACATCTTCTCAACTGAATCTGATGAGTTGAATAAAACTCTACTACCATCTACTACCATCATTAAATCAATTGTTAGACGTTTTTCACGAACTAAATTCTGCTTATGGCGTTTTTGGCAGGTTCAGTCCAGATAACACAAGCCCTACCACTTAAATTAAGTTATTTATAATACTAATGATACTAATAATACTAATAATAACTAATTTACTATTCGTAATGTGTGTGTGCGTGTGTGTGTGTGTGTGTGTGTGTGTGTGTGTGTGTGTGTGTGTGTGTGTGCTGTGTATGTGTGTGTCTGTCCATGTTTGTCCTCTAAGCCTTGGGAGTGTGTTTACTCTGCCTTTTGTTTACCGCTGTTCTGTTTGTGCTTAAGTTAATATTGGACAGCAGTTAGATTTAAGGGGCTCCGAGACCTCCTCGTCCCCCACAGACGGTTAACCAGGCCGGGGCAGAGCGAAAGGAGTCGTGGCCCGAGCCGCCCAGAGGAGACAGAGGAGTGACCTCAACACTGGCCTGTAAATCTCTGAGCAGGGCCGTCTGACATGCAGCATGCTTACTGAGGATTAACTGCGTCCTCCCACCCGCATATCATCCCTTTCACTGGCTCATTATGGGAACCAGGACTGACCGGTGGACAGCACTTGGTTACAGAAGAGCTAATCACGCTCACTGAAGCTGTAGCCTTCACTGGGGTGATCACGATCGATCTCAGTGACAAATGACACAGGAATTCTGTTGCTAGCTACACACGGGCCTTTTCTTTGAAGATTATGTCCAAAGGGTAAATTGGTACACATGTGATCACAGTGCACGATGACAACACTGCTTCACAAAATCAATTGTACTTTCGGGAACAGAGCAAACTTAAAAAGAGAGCAAATAAATAAAACAAAACAAAATTCAAATGTCAAAACCATACAAAAACGTTTGTTGTAATACAGTGAATGAATTTTGCAAGGTGGCCGCAGGATTCAGAAAGACAAATGTTAGACCAGAGAAAATAAAAACATTTTCAAACAAAAACAATTTTGAACAAATGAACAATGTGCAGAATAGGAAAAATAAAAGGACATGAATGTTTGAGGGACATGAAGTCCAACTGTCATGAACAGACTAGATGAATTTAACACAGGCCTGCCATGAAATTGTTAAAACATAAGACTCATTTCAAGATTGATATTATTATTTAGGTTTTAACATGATTTAGCTTTTTTGGGGAGCAGCAGTGAGCACATTGTGAGAATATTATATATATATAATAATATAGTGAACTTTTTTCTGAAGTATTCTGTACATCTATTGCTGTCCTGTAGATAAAAATGGTTCATTCTAAGGTTGTAACAAAAACACAATTACTCTTATTTTTAGCTGATTGTAAACTAATGAAAACATACCTATGAATATTATATTTAATTTCTGCCAATACATCCTCCCAAATGTTAAACACTGGACGTTTAATCACCAACCATCAACCTCATGGTGCTGCTAGAGCAACATCAGGGGGTCACTTAAGTCAGTAGGATTTACACCACCAGCACAGCAAAAGACAAAACAAAACAACTACTTCTAATTATATTCTAATTTAAACCAACTTGTTTGATTTTCTTCACGCAGGCATACTTTCATATCCTTTCTTGATATTACCAGAATACTTCAGCACACACCTAGATTAAGTGAATTTATGTAGTGTAATGTTTTAACGCCCATATGCTGGAATAATAGAATAGTATCATCTGCGTAAAGTGTAGTCTAAAAATGCCTCTATATGATAGAATGGTGGTAGTTTCTGGAATTGCATTAATCCAATGCTGAAGAGGAGGTGGTCTGTTGTTATTTCTGTTGTTCCGTCCCAACATATATGGCAAAACAAGCCATCAGCCATTTCTCCAACTGTCTTTGACCTCCGAGTAATGGAAAGAGAGTAGAGAGCAGGCAGCAAGGCTGAGAGTGACACTAAGCGATGGGGACAATATTTGAGAGCGTGCAAATGTCTCCATGGATCTTCTGGAGGTGTCACACTGTTGGACACATTTTTGGACACAGGCCTGACCATGAGGGCTCACCCCGTGGGAGATGAGTGTCACAAAAGACGAAGGAGAGGAAGGGGGAGAAGGGAAAGACTTTTCAGGCACGTTCACATCAAGCATGGCTGGGTCAATTGAACTCTAGAGCCTTTACGCAATTAATTTGCTTTTCTTCGCACCAAGACTCCTGAAAATGTGTGCACAAAGAAGGAATGAGATGAGATGAACACCAGAGACACGGGGCAAAGTCTGGCAGAAAAAGGCGACTAAGTCAACTTTTCCTCTATGATTCAGACCAAAGACCAAACTGATGGCATGTGAAAAGCCCTAAACTCATTAGTCCCGAATCACTCACAGTACACGCCTGGAGATAGATTCAGCACATCATAAATCCTGTTTAGGACATCTTCTTCCACACGGCCAGCTCCTCTCTTTATCAGAGAGCTGCTGGCTGGTAGCTGCAGCTCGATAATGGCCTGCACTGTTTACTGATCCTCGCAGGAAACTGACACTCACATAAAAGTGGCCTCAGTATTCGTGAGTAAAGTCCATAGCTTATGTTTGAACGTATGCAATGAGTGTGGCCTGGGTGGTATTTGGCTATCATGAGAAGGAATGTAAATCGTCAACTGTTAGTTATGTCTACTTAGAATATTTGTTTAAAACAATGTCCTCGGATCTGTAAAGGTTATTGTGAGATTGGACTTTGAAACTTTGTTCTACGTTCTGTCTATTTTGAGATAGAGGTTTTGTATCATGGACATATTCAAATACTTTGAATTCCTTGCAAACACTACTACTTACTGGGTAACTACCCTGCTTTATGTAACATGTAAAAACCGGCCATCATATTCATATCTGTAAGTTTTATCTGCTGGTGTGAAATGATTGCATTCAGGGTTGTAGATGTAAACTGTTTCCCCTCATTTATTGGGGTTTACTCCTTACTATACCCCTGATTGCACTGAAAAACCTTAGGCTATGGGCGACCATTTCTTGCTAAAAATGTACACTACTTGCAACAGAGAAAGGAGCACAACATTTTTACCAGATTCTTCTGACCTGGCTAACAATCTTTTAAAATGTCTTCTTTCTCCTAAAGGACGCCTTGGTCATATTATCTCTTTGGGTTTCTTGTTTTATCTGAGCTCACCAGAACAAATTCCTATCAGCTATGATGAAATGGCAATAAAGTGTTTTTGTTTTTGAATCTTAAAGAGAATCCACTCAGCAGTATACTTAACAAAATGTAACGTTAAATATCCCTTCTTTTAACCCCTGTAGATAACAGGACAGTACATGCAGACGTGTTGAGGTCAAAGATCACAAAACAACACTGGGTCGGCTTACGAACAATTCTGTAAAAGTTGCAGTTGTGTTAGTTTGGAGCAGAGGTTATGGACTCACCGCTGATGGTGGGAGCCTTCCTGCTGCGCCGAGCCTGATGTCCCCACGCTTTGTCCAACTGCCTCACTTTTTCTAATGTTGGTTCCAGCCCAGCCTCCATCCTCACACACACACAAATACACGCACAACCACATGCACAGAGTAAACACAACATTTCAAATGAGACAGTCGCTCTTGATGTGTGTGAGTGAGCTACAGCAACCTGACCAAAGATCTTCTTTTCCTGTAAATGTTGTCTCGCAGGACAGAGCGAGAAGATATAATTCAGAGATTTTGTGGGGAAGAATTGGGAAAATGTGAAACTGGGGAGCCATCGCATTTGAAGGTAATGAATTATTGAAAATAATCACCAATTTTGCATACAATTGCCCAGCACGGGCCTTTTTGGTTGAACTGGGGATTTGAACTGGCAACCTCAGTCACAAAGGACCCCCTCCATGCTGTACTTGTAGGAACTGGAATCATCTCATTAAGAAATTCCCAGTATAGAGTGTTTATAAACAGCTTCTTGTTCATCCCTCGTGATGGATGGATGCTCCCTATCACCGGCTCTTCCAGCTAACTCCCCAACCCGCTTAACAATCTCTCTGCCACTGTTTCACAAGCGCACACCCCCCACCCACCAACACTTACTGAACCCTCAGCATTTTCTGTACTGACCTCGATCCCTCTGTGGGTGGGCCCTTACTGTTTTGAGTGTGTGTGTGACTGCATTGTGTTTAATAGTGAGGGGAAAGTGTGTGTGCGTGGGTGCTATGAGGGAGGAGGGTGCAACTGAGAGGCCAGTGTGAATCTGCTAATGAAGAAAAACAACACGGCTGTCAAGGCCTCCCAGGAGCAGGTCAAACACAGTTGCAGGGGGTTACAGTCAGCGAGGGCAAAGGGTCAAAGGTCAAAGGTCAACATCAAGGCCAAGAGCAGGCCTTGACCTCTGCTGGGCTGAAAAAAGTGGGAGTTGAAGAGAGTAAACTGTATGGGAGGTGGAGCTCCCAGAGATTTTCTTCTAAAATAAGGGTGTAGCAGCATTAAAAAGGGGCCTGGGACAATCCTAAATGACGCAATGATACTTTACCAGAAGCAAAGGAACAGAGGAAATGTGTTATTCATTTGTTTAATCTTTACAGCACCCACCGTATTTAACATTTCTCAAAGTACAAAACTATTTTTTGTTGTGCAAAACAGTGAGAATGAAAAAATTAAAATGTGTAAATTAAACATGGTAGTGAAAATCTGTGTGTCAAGTCAAGTGTCTGTATTCGGTAATAAAAATAAAACCATATGACTACAATTGAAAAGATATAAGATAAAGATAAGATTCACAAAAAAAAAAACATACATGCTCAAAAAAGTTTTTTGCATTACAGCACTTTTCTGTAAACAATTAAAAATGGACTAATCACAATTTACACTTGTAACTGTTATACAAAACATTTCTTCTTTTCCAATCAGACACGTCACTGAAGCCCAAGTTACAGGAGCAAATTGTGAAACACTGTAAACTAGAGCAGATGGGGTTTCATGCAGTGGATCGTGTCAGAACTGTCAAAGTGTTTGGCAACTAAAAAACAACAGGAATCATTTTAGAGAAACCTCTGTGTGGTCTGGTCACCGCCCGCCAGCAGGTTGCTGACGTCTATGTAAGGTCTGACATCACATTGAGCTTGTGTCCTAAAATCAGAAGATGGAGTTCAGGCTGACAGGAGGAGTATCCGTCCGTGTCCGACACCTGACACCCTCAATCCTCTGTTTAGAACTCGAACATTAATAGCAGTGTGAATCACATCGCTGCAGCTGAACCCAAGTGAACATAATCCGTCACAGTACTATTGCAGATAAAAAAAACATTGTAAACATTACAAAAAGCACAATAAATAAAACTATAAATTTAATTTTAAATGTACAATTTCTCCATCTTGATTTTGTTGGCAAATGTGATTTTTTGAGGGTTCACGGGAAGTGAGTGTCAGCTCCTGTCCCACTAGTACACTTGTACTGGTTTGGTGGTTTAGCTCCCGATCAGAGGCGTTGTCTCTTCGCGGCTACCGTCCACCTCCACCGTAGCTTTGCGGTAAATTATGAACTGGAGGGAGATCTGAACCACAGCGTTAAGGAAACCAAAAAACAATAATAAGGGTAAATGTTTATGAATGTTACTGTCAGAGGATTTCGCCTAGAAAAACACACAACCATGAAAATTTGATGAAACATTTGCAGACTTCCTAATTTACGGTGGGTGAAAAGTGTATTTTACTGAATACCAGACAGAGAGTCCTTTATGTCTGCTGTACAAGGTTGGATTACCAACTGAGCCAAGTGGGCCCTGAAGCCACAGATTTCCTGCACTCCCCAAAGTCTCAGATTCACAGTGACAATTCACAATTGAAGTGTACTAATCTATTTTACTGGTCTAAAGTACAACTGCAACTAAGGCCTCTCTTACATTATTGAATAATCTTGTCCCTGTCTTGGTGATGAGGTCCTGTATCAAAATCTAGTTTGAACAGTTTTATTTTAGTTTGTGTTGTGATCACATGGTGCATATTATTCCTAAAAAAAGTTGCATTTAGTCAAATTACCTATATTAAAACAACGTGGGCCCTGGTAGTACTATTCTAGTATAGCATTGCCATTTCCCTTTCTTGCTGAAAATCTACAACTACCACACTCATGTCTGTCCATTAGATACAAAGCTACAGCCAGGAGACATTAACTTTCTGGCCAGGCACTATGACTTCTGTGCTGGTTGCCACAGTTAGCTTAGCTTAGTTCATGCTCACTAACCATCTCCTGGCTGTAGCTTCAGTAAACATACTGAACAGATATGTATTGATCGTCTCGTCTAACTCTTAAGAAAGCAAGTAATCGTATTCCCCTAAATGAACAATTCAAGGAAATTCAAACAAGGAGAACTAGGAGGCACAGAAACACAGGTAGGAACTAGTGGTAGCAGGTGGGGGGACCGACAGCACAACAGGCTGATCTAACCATAGTGCTGTGCCATGTGCTAAGGCTGATTGATATTCAGATTTGAATAACCTGCAGATGACTGTGACAGCAGAGATTGGCTATGAGCAGAAAATGTGCGTTTGGAATATTTTTAAAGAACCTAAAAAAATTGCCCAGTCATCATCAGGTCACATGCTTCTGCCTCATCTGTATGCTCACTGAAAACAAAGCAAGAAGCAACTTGATACTTCAGTCCACCACTGAGATGCGTGGCCTACAGGCGTTGCTAGTGCAGCTTATACGCTCCTGTTTCTTAGCTGGCGAGAAGCCAATTTCACTGAGTGGGTTTAGACCTTTGATACTACATATTGAGTTTCCACACACGCAGTCATGAGACCTAAACCCATCTTATGAGGCGTCCTCTCTACAAGCTCAGCACTGCCTAAAATGTAGCATGTATGTGGGATTAAGGAGAACCCAGAGCCCGGCCGCGGCGGCCAGGTTTTCTTTTCTTGAAAGGATACAATGAGGTCTAAGGAGAGGGTGCCGAGGCTGCCAATGAGCCAGGGCAAGTGATGGATCAGGTAGCTTTTCTCGCCCTGGCCCCTGTCAGGGTTCTTCAGTAGGACACTCATGCCGTATGTGGTGTTTCCCAGGATGACCAGTGCGAACAGGAAGTAAGACACCCCCTCTGTCGACTTCCTCTTGAACTGTGTAGAGAAACGAGGGGAAGTGAGAAGAATGAAAACTTAAAAAGGAATACAAGATGTGCAGTAAGCTGTGCAGTGATATGTGACCGCAGACGCAGTGGGCCATGCTGTCACTGCATTATATTCACTTGCATTTTCACCTGCTCAGTTTTCAGTTACATTAAACTTTGCCAAACATTTTTCAACATTATTATTATTTCACATGCGGCATCTGATTTATCGTCAACCATACCTTTCATTTTAAATATGTACATTTTGTACTTGTTTCACATTTTGCATGTTACACATTGGCAGGACTGTGTATTAGTCAGAATCTGCCGATACCAAACGTATCATCATACAAATGATATTTGGTTTTGTGGTATTTTTATTTTGGTTTTAATTCTCAAAAACACTCTAGGCAGCGTTGTAAACAGGAACTGAGGGCCATGATGTTGGATGTTATAGTTCTGGTTGCATGAAAAAGAAAATGTTGTACTACTCAGATTTTATGCATATGAAGGTGTGTTCTTTATACTGGTCTCTTAGGCCTCTTTAGGACTCTGTTTTCCATTACAATATAAGTATCTGAATTGTATTGTTTAGAATTTGTTGTTTTGGATGTAGTTTTACAGACATTAGTGTAATGAGATGTCAAGTGCAATATATCACCTACTGTACTGCAGCCAATAGTACTAAAGAATCTGCGCATTTGTAGCAGAAGACACTCTGTCATACTTACATTAGTGTACATCTGGGGGAGTCTGGAACAGAGGTAGAGCACTGACGACACTGAGCCGATGGAGAAACCAATAATCTCTTTCGGAGTAAAAACCTGAAGCGACAGAGGGGTAGACACAGCATTACACCAGGAAAAAAAGCCAGACATGACTAGTTCACTTCCTTCAGGTCACTAATTAAACAAATGAATAGGACTCACCTTGATAGAGCCAATGTCAGAAGTTGAGAGCAAAGAGCGACTTTTGAACCCAGGAGAAATAATGTCCTCGTGGGTGCCTAGCCCGGGAAGGGGGGCGAGGTGTGTGGTTAAACCCAGGATGCAGGCTACACCCACCAAACGCAAAACCATCCTGCCTGCAGAAGGGACAACACCCAGATTCATCATCAGTACTGGGAGAGACATCTCAGCACATTCCTCCAGACAAGGGTTGCCATGTCAAAGGTCACCCGTAAGCGGACAAATGCCACAGCACTACATGAGGCATGTGACGACATTATTTTAGAATACAGGGATTACCCTCTACCTCTGTCTGCACAAGTGTTGGATCACTGTTCACCAGCACTTGATACTTGATAAATACGCAGTGCCAAATTAATTAAAACTATGGCTACAGTTTTACAGAGATGATTCATTCCAACTACACATGTTAAAGGCCTATGTCTTGGTTACTCAGTGTGGCACTAAGATGCAAATAAGGCACTGAAACTCTCTATAGCACATAATGAGAACTTC